ACACACACACACACACACACACACACACACACACACACACACACACACAGCTGTATCCAAGGTGCCTACCCTAGCGTCGATGTGACTCATGAGAGCCACAAGTCTGGGACAGTCTGCATAATTTCAGGTGGCTTGGCTGGCTGGAGTCCCCTCACCCCAGCAATGGTTACTGTTTCTATAACCATGAGGGAGTGAGCCCCCTGAATCTTAGAACTTTCAAGAGCCCCCCTCCATGTCTTATAACTAGTGTTTCCTAAGTGTCCTTCATTTCCTGAGTCTCAAGAGCCTGTCTCCTCCCTCCAGGAAAGAACATTCAAATTTGGAGGAAGTAACTACCCAAGAGACAGGTACTGCCTTCCCTGGGTCACTTCCCTATTCGCTTCCTGGTGGAGGTGAATTTAGTGCTTGTGACCATAAATTTAGACAAAGACTCTATGACAGGGCAGGTGGGATGGAATTGAAACGAGGAGGGTGCATCACATGTGGTGAGCCGGGGATCCTTTCGTCAACCGAGTCGTTATATGTGGCGTATGTTACTATGACTTACAGTTTAACAAAGGAAGTGAGGAGGGATGAGATGGCTCACTGGATAAAGGGGCTTGCTGCCAAGCCTGATGACGTGAGTTTGATCCCCAGGACACACACTGTGGAAAGAGAGAACTGACTGGCAAGTTGTCCTCTGATCTACACAGGCTCTCTCTCACACACACATGTGATGGATTTAAAAACAAAAACAAAAACAGCTTGGACAACTTGGAAATCAGTGTGGTGGTTCCTCAGAAAGATAAGAATTGATCTATCTCAAAATCTAGCTATACCACTCTGGGGCATATAACCAAAGGACATTCCATCCTACTACAGAGACACTCACTCAACCATGGTCCTTGTTGTTCTATTCATAATAGGCCGACACTGGACACAGCCTAGATGTCTGTCAGGGGATGAGTGGATAAAGAAAATGTGGTACATTTAGACAATCTACTAAAATGACTTCGTGAAATTTGCAGGTAAATGGATGGAACTAGAAAAAAAATCATCCTGAGTGAGGTAACTCAGACCTAGAAAGACAAATATGGTATATATTTGCTTATATGAGGATGTTAGCTGTTAAGTCATTGATAAGCAAGCCATATTCCATACAACCACAGAGCTTAAGTAGAGAGTGAGGGACTAGGGGAGGAATAGATCTCCCTAGGAGGGGGAGAGGAAAAAATAGAATAGACAGTTTATGGGTGTGTGTGTGTGTGTGTGTGTGTGTGCGCGCGCGCGCGTGTGTGTGCGCGTGCTAGAACAGGAGGATCAAACAGGGAAGGGGAAGAGAGAGGGGGCAAGGAAGGAAATATGGAGAGGGACAGGTAAACTTAGGGGCCATTTGAGGAGTCCTAGAGAAACATAATACAGTGGAAGCTTCCTAAAGTATGTATATATATATATATATGAAGGCAATTTAAATGAAACACCAAATAACGGGAGACAGAGCCTCAGCTAGACATCTCTTGTCACCAAATGAAACTTCCAGTACCGGGAATAGGTTACATCTAATTGAGTTCTTGACTAAAGGGGTCCCACGGAAACCCCCAAACAACCCAGGGTATTGCCAAGGTTATTGGTGGCCCTCTACAAACTGACAGGAAGGTGCCATTGCTGACGAGGACACCTACACCACTCATTGAACACAGAGGAGCTGAGCTGGTGCCTCCCCCCTATGGGCTGGAAGTGTTCACGGTGCTGGAAGGTGCTCTGCACACTGCCTGCCACAGGAGAAAGTAGACACCAACCCGGCTACAAAGCCTTTGATCTGCAGGGGCGACCTGCCTGCGCGATCTGCCGGTGCAGTGGTGGCACAGAGCTGGCGGGAGACACCAACCATCTGATCTGAGTTAAGGCCGCTCCATGGCATGGAACCCATAGCCAGTGCTGCTTGAGTGGCTGAGAAGCTGAGACTAGACAGGCCATGGATCTAGGGGAAAGCCAGATACTAATGTTCTGCTAAAGGAAAAGAAGAAATGACGCCTAACAACATTCTGCTGTACTCATAGATCTGGGCCTTGCT